TTTAATTATGATTTCAGATGGCAAAGTGACAAACCACAGAATTCAAATGGTGGTTTGTAAGAAAAAGAGTTTATATGACGATGCACCAAAACCTTGATAGTTCAGATAGGTCAAAGTTTTTTCCCCTTCATTTTTCCAGTTCCGAGCTAAATTTGTACACAAAGGTATTTAAGCTTATTGAACAAGTTGAGTCAAGCCCAAGGGCAGATCTAGAAAAATAAAAACAAATTTGGAATTAAAAAAAAATTGTAACAAAACAACACATGTCTTTTAAACTTTGTGTCTTCTAGAATTGTACTCGACGTTCTTTCAAGTAACATAACTCATCAATGATTGACTCGATACTAATACATCTTGCAAATTTTCTTTCGACGAAGACATTGAAGAATTTAGAAGAAAGTCATCTTTCATTTTACTTCGAAGTCTGGATTTAACAATAGTCATAGCCGAGAGTACACACTATATTGAGTGTTCCCGTAGACACATGAAGAGTGAGAATCGGCCTGATTAATTTATCAATCAATGAGTAAACCAAAGACTTTTTATCAATCAATGAATAAATGGTTCGCTCCAAGGCCACTTCAAAGGTGTCAAGAGGTTGAGACAAGGAGATCCGCTCCCGCCTTACCTCTTTGTTATATGCTTGGAGTATCTCTCGAGACTCATGAACCGGAACACGGCTAGCGGGTCGGGCTTCAAATATCACCCGAAATGTGAGTTCCTTAAAATCACTCACCTTGCCTTTGCGGACGATTTAATGCTCCTTTCGAGGGGCGACCCTTTTTCTATTAAAATCTTAATGGATTGCTTGAGGGACTTTAGAGCTAAATCGGGTTTGGAAATGAATGTCCTAAAATCCAATATCTACATGGCGGGGGTTGGCCAAATGGAGCATTCGGAGATTCTTCGGGACACTAACTTCCGGCCGGGGTCTATGCCGTTCCGGTACCTCGGTATCCCACTCACGGCGGAAAGAGTCACCGTTGGGAAATTTGATTCTCTCATAAATCAAATTTCAGAATACATCAATGGATGGAACGCTTCCTCTCTCTCATATGCGAGACGAGTGGAGCTCATTAGATCGGTCCTCCAAGGGGTGGAATGCTTTTGGATGTCTATCTTCCCTCTTCCGTCGACCGTCCGTACACTCATCATCCAACGATGTCGCCGCTTCCTTTGGGGCTCAAAGATGGCACCGGTGGCTTGGCACACCATCACCTTTCCACGTTCGGAGGGAGGCCTAGGGCTTCGGGACCTTAAAGCGTGGAACCAAACTTTATTAGCAAGAACACTATGGAATATCCAAGCCAAAAAAGATACCTTGTGGTACCGTTGGGTTCATCATGTTTACCTAAGGCAAAAATCCGTGTGGCAATGGACCATCCACAAGGACGATTCCCCTCTTTTCAAGAACCTATATGCCATTCGGAACCTAATAGTTGAAAAGTTGGGTAGCACGCAAGCCACCGAGTCCGCTCTTAGTCTTTGGGATTCCAACTCTCACTCCAAGGGGCCCTCATGCGTCTATGATTTCTTCCGATCCCGTGGCACACCCGTCCCATAAGGGTGTGATTTGGGGGTCCGCCAATACCCCCAAACACGCCTTCATTCTTTGGCTTGCAACGCTCGGAAGGCTCCGAACCAAGGATAGACTTGGCTTCCTTGATATTGACCCTGCTTGTGCCTTTTGTGGGGAAGCTTCCGAGACAAAGGATCACCTCTTTTCCACTTGCCCCCTTTCGGCTCAAGTATGGCTTGGCATCCGACATTGGCTAGGATTGAGGCGACAACTCTCCACTCTAAAGAGTGCTTTGAAGTGGATTAAGAAGGAATCCCAAGGCTCCAGTTGGAGAACAAAAGCAACAAAGGCCGGACTCGCTGCTACGGTGTACTTCCTTTGGAATGCTCGAAATAGGAAGATTTTTGAAAATGAGGTGCAATCTCCGGAGCTCATTATCCGGAGGATTCAAACACATGTCTATAGAAATATATTTGTTTTGTACCCGAATGTCCTTGCCGACATGGAGAGAAAAGCCCTCGGGAATGGCTTGGCCTAGCCTCCTTATGGTACGTATGATTGAGAGTCATGTTAGATGCTTGTTAGTTGATTACGGTTTCATTTGATTAGCAAGTGAGGGACCAGTTTGTGGTGGCCCACTTCGCTTCTGTATGCCGCGTGACGGTCATTGTAAAAACATTTTTTGAGCTATAAAATTTTATTTACCGATCAAAAAAAAAAAAAAAAGACTTTATCTGTTGTCATCCATTGACACAAATCAGAGATAGTGCACAAAATTTGAAATTCTTAATGTTGGATAGCATCAATCTCACAATAATGTTTCAACCGTAAACCTTTATCATAATCCGTGAAATCTCTAGGATAGAATTCTTACAAGGAGGCAAGCATTGTATATAAGACAATCGAGAATTGCAAGGGTCAAACATAGAGCTAATAACAAGTAGCTTCATGGCATGCTCACTAAACCTGCTATTTAGCTCTTGCAATCGACAATCTATTGTAACCATAAAAATATTATTCCCGACTGTAAATAAATTTTGCTTGTTCCGAAATCGTCCTCCTCTTTCCACATATAAAGAATTAATCTATTGCACAACTTTCACAAAAATTTGGATAAGACTCTTTGTCATCTCAACAAGATGCATAACATTCAAAATATCTTGAGATTTTCGTTGTCGAGCTTGACAAAGCGTATCAGTTATTTCCATGATCTCTTTCATGGTTGTAATGTTTGATATTGTTATATGATCAGTTAACTGAGTTTTTAACATGATAAGCCATTTGTCATGAGTTACAGAATGCATCCATTAATGCAACTTATGAAGGACTAGCTGATTCAAGTACTTTTATTTTTGCTCAGGAATTAGTTCCTTACTCCCTGTTAGTTTTGATGTTAATTTTGATCAATGTTGAATCTACTTCTAATAAATGTACTTGCTTTTGTCAAACTTTTATTGTAGATGTCAAGCCAAGAAGAAATGGACGGAAGCAATAATACCCAAACAGGACCACCAATGGATAAGGCCTCTAAATGAGATTCAGCAGGCAGTAAATTATCTTAAAACAAATGTAGATGGTCTAAATGTGATGCTTTAACTAATAATAAAATCATACCCCAAGTAATAACCTTCTTTTTATTCAGCGAACAAGATTATGAAACAATCTAGCATCAGACATCTGATGGGTAATGAATTTTAACAATATTAGAACTAAGAGGGGAAAAAAAATGAAATGATTTGAAGGTTAACCTTTGACAAGAAGCTGAAACTTACTACTAGCTAAGATGAAATAATCTCAAATATCGTCTCCATTATAGTAATGCAAAAAGCAGCTGTAATATCATAATACCACAACCAAATAAAATTTTGAATAATAGCAGGTATAAAGCAAAAGCCACAAGATAACAGGATAACACACGACATAAATTCCACCTCCATAATAGGCGAACACTTTAATAAATTATGTAAAGGCTTGGGATGACTAATAATGGTCACATTAGTCTCCAACACAACTCCAAAGATTTGTTGCAAAAGTGAGATTATGGAGCAAATGATCAAAAGATTAAAGGCTCTAGATGGCTGTAGGTCCTCTTGAAAGAAGTATGTATCAAAAACCCTAAACACCAGTCAAACGTACGGCAAACCTTGTCCACAAAATAAGCTATGCAGTCTAATTTTAGGGCCCAAACAAAGTCTCACGCCAACAGAGAAATCAAAAATCAAAGAGATACAAGGTAACACTAACTAATTATGAAAACTTTAAGCCAATGGGCCACAAAAAGGTGATAGGAAAAAAAAAATATTGGTTTGAAGCAACAAAAAGGGTAATAAACAATTGTATATTTAGAAGCTGTCAAAGGAGTGGATCCTCTTTGGGACTAAAAAATACATGAATCCTTATCCAAACAACAACAACAACAACATACCCAGTATATTCCCAACAGGTTGGGGTCTGGGGGGTCAGTTGTACGCAGACCTTACCCTTGTAATTATACAAGGAGGCTGTTTCCGTAGCGACCCAAGGTGCATTGCGCCGTTTGATTTTTTTTTTTTTTCCTANGTTTTAGTACATTATGTTAACAAAAAATCTACAAGAGTGCCCAAACCATCCTACGGCACAAATAATGTACACAAACTAATTTAAATCAAAATCATGTCTCCAGTCCAAGAAGAGCATAGCAATTATGCAGGCAACACATAGAACATATTAGAGAAAGTTAAAAGTTTAAAGGACAGATGGTTACAAATAGGTTATACGAATCCAATTCAAAGCCTCAACAAATCTCACGGTAAGGTAGGAAAGATGAGATATATTCAAAGCTCAAGAGAAGCCAAACAAAATTTCAAAATTACCAGGCCAAGAAAAATAGGTTATGGACGAATAATTATTAATAGACTGAGAAAACCAAAACTATAGTTAGATGGTCAAATTTCTCAACCACAAATAGGAAAACGAAATAAAAGCCCACAGTTGCCTTCCAAGATATAGAAAAGAAATTGAACGAATTACACGAGAGCACAGAAAAATGGAACAAGACATCAAATTGTTAAGAAAAAAATAAAATAAAATGTGACATTGACAATAAACTATCAATAAACTAATACAAAATCTAATTGAATGTCCAACTCTTTAGCCACAAATAAAGAGCACACCCAAATCCAAAGCCCAAACCAAGTCGTCCCCCAAGGTAGGGCAAAGAAGTCGGATGAACGATATTGATAGCGTACGAGAACAGAACGAAAAGAATAAATCCAGAAGGATAACAAAGAGACAATGGTAGGAAAATATTAGAACATAAGAGCACTTATAAATCAAATTTAATGTCCAATCTTAGCCACAAATAGGTAGTACAAGGCCCAAGGCCCCAAACCAAACTGTGCCAAGACAGGCAAAAAATGGATGAAATGTATTAGTAGCACGAGTTGGTAGTACAAATGATCAAAATTAAATCACAAAGAAAAAACAAGACCTCAGTGGGAATATATTAGTACATAGACAAAACTAATAAAAGTCTAATTTAACATCCAACTCCTTAGCCACAAATTAAGTAGCACAACCAAATTCAACGCCCAAACCAAGTCGTCCCCCAAGGTGGGGCAAAGAAATCAGATGAACTATCATATTGATAGCATAGGAGAACAGAACAAAAAGATCAAAGCTAAAAGTATAACAAAGATATCAATGTTAGGAAAATATTAGAATATAAGAACACTTAAAAATCAAATCGAATTTCCAATCTCTTAGCCACAAAAATAGGTAGCACAACAAAATTGAAGGCCCAAACCAAATTGTCCCCAAGGCATGGCAAGAAATTTGATGAAATGTATTAGTAGCACAAGAGAGTAGCAGCAAGATCATCATTAAAAGCACAAAAAAAAAATAGGACCACCGTAGGAATATATTAATACATAGACAAAACTAATAAAAAATCTAATTGAAAGTCCAACTCCTTAGCCACAAATAAATAGCACAACCAAATCCAAAGCCCAAACCAAGTCGTCCCCAAGGTAGGGCAAAGAAGTCAGATGAACCATATTGATAGCGTACGAGAATAGAACAAAAAAGAAAGAGTAAATCTAAAAGGATAACAAAGAGACAATGGTAGGAAAATATTAGTATATAAAAACACTTAAAAATCAAATTGAATGTCCAATCTTAGCCACAAATAGATAGCACAACCAAATTCAAGCCCCAAACAGGACAGGGAAAAAAATAGATGAAATGTATTAGTAGCACGAGTTGTTAGTACAAAATATCAAAATTAAAATCAAAAGAAAAAACACGACCCCAGTGGAATATATTAGTACATCCACAAAACTAATAAAGTCTAATTTAATGTCCAACTCCTTAGCCACAAATAAGTAGCACAACCAAATTCAAAGCCCAAACCAAGTCAGCCCCAAGGTGGGGCAAAGAAATCAGATGAACCACATATTGATATTGATAGCGTAAGAGAACAGAACAAAAAGATCAAAGCTAAAAGCATAACAAAGATATCAATGGTTGGAAATATTAGAATATAAGAACAGTTAAAAATCAAATCGAATTTCCAATCTCTTAGCCACAAAAATAGGTAGCACAACCAAAATGGAGGCCCAAACCAAATCGTCCCAAGGCATGGCAAGAAATTAGATGAAATGTATTAGTAGCACGAGAGAGTAGTAACAATGATCAACATTAAAAGCACAAAGAAAAAATAGGACCACCATAGGAATATATTAATACATAGACAAAACTAATAAATCTAATTGGAAGTCCAAATCCGTAGCCACAAATAAGTAGCACAACCAAATCCAAAGCCCAAACCAAGTCGTCCCCCAAGGTAGGACAAAGAAGTCAGATGAACCATAATGATAGCGTACGAGAACAGAACAAAAAGAATAAAGCTAAAAGGATAACAGAGAAATCAATCGTAGGAAAATATTAGTATAAAAGAACACTTAAAAATCAAATTGAATGTCCAATCCCTTAGATAGCACAACAACCAAATTCGAGGCTCCAACCACATCGTCCCCAAGGCAAGGAAAGAAATTGGATGAAATGAATTAGTAGCACGAGAGACTAGTACAAAATATCAAGATTAGAAGCACAAAGAAAAAACATGACCTTGATGGGAAAGTATTAGTACATAGACAAAATTAATAATAAAATCTAATTGAATGTCCAACTCCTTAGCCACAAATAAGTAGCACAACCAAATTCAAAACTCAAACCAAGTCCTCCCCCAAGGTAGGGTAAAGATATCGGATGAACCATATTTGATTGCGTAGGAGAACATAAGAAAAATATTAATGCTAAAAGAATAACAAGAAAATTAAGTTATTAATAGAGGAATATTAGTACATTAAAAAAAATCAAACCAATCCCAAAAGGACAAAAAATAGGTAGCACAATGAAATTCAAAGTCCACATCATATGAAGCCCACAATTTGGCAAAGGAATTACCAGAAACCATATTAAGAGCACAAGAGGGTGAAACAAAAGATAAAGATTTATGGTTCCAAGTTCTCTAGAATATAGTTGATTGAAAAATTCCAAGCAAAAAAAGAAAGCAAAAAAAAATCCCTACACAGAAGTTAATTTTCCAATAGTATCAAGCTCTATTAGAATTTTACCAACACAAAAAAAAGAAGGGAAAAGAAAAGAAAAGGGGAAAATCCCTACACAGAAGTTAATTTTTTCTATCCAGATAATAAATTTTTGAAAAAAAAAAAAATGGATGGAGGCAAGTCTCTATCAAATGAATTAACTGAAAATATGACAGTGAGATAATCCAAATGTGGTCCTCAGTCCAGTGGAAATAATGATATGAAACTAAATGTAATTTATAGTCAAAACAATAATCACAGCGTGAAAGAGTTTTGGTGAATCTCAAAAAAATGATACGTGATACACAACAAGGTTTGATCTGTGATAATTAAGGCAGTAAACAGCATACCACACTCTGTAAACACTAGGTCTCAGACAGATAAAGCACAAGAGGCATCAAATTTTCATGGATCATATATTTGAAAATCAGAAAGAAAATACAAGTAACAATGATAAAGAAAGCAATTTACTCAAATATCATCTCCGAGTAATATAAATAAGAAGAAAAAGAAACCTGACTTGAGTTTAGATTCAAAAGAACCATATCCCACCGACATGAGAGGCCTTCTGTTGTTTGGGAACGGGAAACCAGCCAATTTGCTCAGCACAACTGAGTTCTTCTTACATGCTTCAATGGCTATTTTGACCCGTATTTTTCTTTTCCCAGATGACCCTGAATCTTGGCAATACAAAAGGATATGGGGACTTCGGAATTGAGAAGAAAAAATACGCATTGATATAGAAACTTCAAAACCCAAACGCCGCAGAGCACAAGCGCATGACAAACTACTTACCTTCTTCCTCGGGTCAAATATCTAGCCCATCTTCGCCTGCTGTAGTAAAAGACGATCGGATATCTGTTGGAAACGTTGACGCACAAAAGGTGTTCGACGGCGGAATCGACGTCGTAGATATCCTCGAAAACCAAGAAGGCAATGCCGCGTGTCCCTGTTCGTGCCGATGCGGATCTGACGCGCGGCGCCCTACTTCCCGAATATGTCACGCATCTCCTTTATCGTTATGTTGACGGCAGGTTGCGGCCGTGGAATACGCGGTTAGTGTACGTCTTGCGAAGGCCGGGCGCGGCCATAGATGTTGAAAGAATCTGAGAGGTTTTCTGAATTAGGGTTCCTAATTTGGTTTTGTGGCTATAATGTGTGCAAAGTTGCAAACTTATTTTGGTTACTTTCCTAAAACAACTGTTACTCGTCTGCTTTCCTTGTAATGAACATTCTTTCATTTTTTTTACAATTACTCAACGGAAATAAGAATGAATATTAATAATAATAAAAAATTGTGAAAGCAATTAAATATTACATTACTTAACAAAAAATATATTCCTTGAGCAAAATAATATGTTGCCATGCAATACACCAAGATCTATTGAAGTGAACACATTTTGTCATTATGCAAAATACTTCTAATATAAAATTACAACAAATGTACAAAATAAATTGTACTATGAAATAAAATCATTTTAATAAAAGTCGGATTAGGCGACACTCGGCCGCCTTGATTTTTGTCTAGGTGATTCACTAATTAGGAGTTGTCAAGACGGGCTAGACGGCGATTAGGCGATCCAAGTAGTTGCAAAGTTAGTCGGTAATAACTTTTTTATATATATATTATTTATTTTTAAAAAATATATATATAATAAAGACAATTTTTATTTTTTATACGTAAAATCTATAATAATAGAAAATAAAGATAACAATAATATATAATATTAATATAATAATTATAATTATTATTATATAATATTTAAAAATATATATATTTAACCATACTAATAAGTATATCTTATAAAATATAGTTGTAAGTTATGCATGATTTTAAATATAGATAAATTTATTTGTATTTCTACTTCTGTCTAGGACCGATTAATTGCCGCCTAGGCGTTAGGCCCCAGTCCACCGCCTAGCGCATTTTAGAACACATCATTATAATACATGTAATACTTATTTATCATGATATATATTTTTTTTTTACTAATAATTTTCTTCAACACTATTTTCTTTTGTGCACTACTTTCATTTTGTTAAGAGGACTTGTAGAAATTTGAAGATAATAGTTGAACTCGTAATATAATTAATCAACTAATGGTAAATACTAAATATTTATAAATAAATTTTGAGTTATTTTGTTGAGTAGTGAGAATTGCATCAAAAATATTGCAAGAAAAAGCTCTACAATGACAACGAAAGATAGGCCTAAAGTGACATAATCGCCCCCACAAAGCTTTAAATGAATTGTATTGTTTGGTAACAGAAAGAGAATCCTGATCTATAAAACTCAGAGGTTTTTTTAAATTAAAAAATTGAAGGACCACTAGACAAAGCATACCTAGACTTAATCTCACTCAAACATCATGAGCACAGAAAAGAACAACAACGATTGTCGAATATCCTTGCTGATAGAATTGAGTAACCAGGAAATAACCAGATTGTTGGCATGTAACCAAACAAGAGACTCAGAAGAACTCTGAGTAGGGTTTAGTACAAAGAGCGTACCGTCAATGAAGCCAAACTTGTTCTTAACACTTAAGGACATCGAGACAGCCCGAGACCATGAGACATAGTTCTCACCAGTAAAAAGTTAAGCTACAGTGAGAGTGTCAGTGTTGTCGCTGGCGTGAACAAAATGTGGAGATGTGGGATCATCAATCGGATTCGCCATGCACAAATGACGTCAAAGAAGTCGAAATTGAGTGTTTATCAAAGATCGAATACAAATCTATCAGGATCGAGAACATATTTATGAAAATCAAGTACAGATCGACTACAAATCTAGGGTTTTCGATTAAATGAAACTAGTCGCTTGATATCTAAAATATGAGAGCAGCGGAATGAAAAATAGAACCGCGTAACCAAGCGAATGATAACATGATAACCGAAGAAGAATAAGATTAATCTGAAGAACGAAAGTGGAGAGTTTGANCATAGAACCAAATAACAACGTACAGTACAAATCATCCGCGCCTACCAACGGGTAGAAAATAAACTGGAAGACACATTAATAATAGTGGTCTAAATAAACCCACCCGGGGTATCAAGCAGGTACATGCACCTGAGCCTTGAATACTCCATACCTACAGCTACCACCAAACTAAGCAACAACACAACCTAAACACTAAAATAACCACCCTTACAGAACTAACAAAGCAACAGAAACAGTGAAAAGAAAACCAGCAGCAAAATCAAACAATACCCTACAAACGACATACTGGAAAAGGACATGGACCGAACTGCAGCTATCTCAGGTCTTTGAACTCTTTCCATTCCTTCATGGCCCTCTTCATGATTATTGTCTCTGGCATTCTTTCCTTTGTAAACACCCAGAGGTTGCGCGCTCGCCAAAGCCACCATAGTATATATGTCGAAAGTTGTATCCTAGCCTCTTCTGTTTCAGATTTCTTTATATCACACACCTGCCACCACCAAGCTTTGAAATTTAAGCCCTGCAAGTCTATTCCATCTCAAGAGACTGGAGCCATCTTCCACACATTTCTGGCTTTCTGGCAATGTAGAAATAAGTGTTCAATTGTTTCTTCTGTTTCTCCACACACTGGGCATATAGCATCGACTGCAACACCTTTCATCATCAGATTCACCCCAACTGGTAGAATCCCTGTATAACACTTCCAAATGAAGTGTTTAATTCGGCCTCTCACTTTCAATTTCCAGCTTCTATCCCTTGCCAACTTATTTTTCCTTCTCGAGGTACTGCTTTCAGGAATATCCAACTTTATTGATTTAAAAGTCCAAAAGTAACTACAAATCAGGGCTTCCTAGTATTTATACCAAGTACAATGGTAGATTGCAAAAGTGTTGCAATGTTTCAAGTAAAAATGTGTCATCATACTACAACTTCAATAAAACTAAAACAATCACTGATGTATTATCCTAACAACAGCGGATAAAATGAGAAGAAAATAAACTAGACGACCATGAAAAAGAGAAGGATAAGAAATCCAGTTACATACTTTTTAATGTCTTTCAAGACTAGAACCAAAACCTGTTATGGATAGAATATGTTACAAATAGTATCCACATGTTAAAGTCAGACCAAATGGATCACCAACAACATGGGTATTGATTCAACGAAGGGGAGGAGTTACTGTTTGAGAGGTTTAGTACCTCAAACATTTGCCATAGGCAAAACCTACTTAGGACATGTTGCTTATATTTTGTACCCTCAATGCACGGAAAGCTTAATTATACTTTGGCTTTTGTCAATCTGCTGGCGAAGTACTTAAAACTGAAAAGGCTATTCCAAGCATTAACATTAGCAGGCAGCTTAGAAACTTTCTTTCTTCAATCTTGCCATTATGACACAGAATTTAAAGCTCATCTCAAGGAAGGGAGCACGTAAAATGAAATAACGAACGACCAGTCATAGTTCTTCAATTTCCAAAGGGTGATTCATACATCTGGTGTTTTTTTTCCTTAATAAGCCGACTGAGAATGCATGACCTCTGGATGTAAAGAGTTAGTAAACTTCAAAAACCTATTTTGACAGGATACAATTTTGTTTTTCGGTAGTCTATATCATAAATTCCTGAGCAAACCAAAAACGGGACAATCATCACAAAATAAAGGAAAAATCGAAACTATCTCTTCTTCTTTCCACCCTTGCCAGATTTTGAACCACCAGCTGCTGAGGATGAGGCGGGCTCTTGCTTCTTGGTTCGGCCTGGATGTCGAGGCACCAACTCTGCAACATGAAGCATTAGCTGTTTCCCTGCATGCAAGTATATCACAAAACCCAAAGAGGAAATTAAGCCGCTGAATGACAGTTATATCACATCAGACAATGGAAATTACCAAGCATGAGAAGAAAAGTTTATAGATATGTGCTCAAGGAACAAAATCAGTAAACTATTCAAGTCTTATTTGGTGGTAGAAGGCAAGGAAACTACCATGCATTTCTTTTTTACAATAAGGGCCTACAAATTTATTGATTTATTTGGTTAACGAGGATAATTTTGAAAATTTTGGTTTGGTTAGTTTTAATGGGATTTTGAGTTTGTATTAAAATAATATTAAAAATAAAATAATTAAAGTTGATTTGATGTAAAAGTAGGAGAAAAATGATTGGAAGTGATTGTTAGTTAAAGTTATGTGAGTGGATGAATAGTGAATTAAAGTTGATGTGATGTGTAAGAATAATTGATTGATATTGTTTAATTATATTGATAATGTTGAGGTTAGTAGAGCTGAATTAAAGTTGAGTTAGATTTTGAGTTGAGATTGGATTTTTTCTGGGTTAATTTGTAAAAAATCACCCCCTAAGCTGTTCTATTAAGAAGCCAACAGGAAAAAGCATACAGGGTAAAACAGAAGTCCAATAACTATAATACACAACAAGCTTGTGTAAAGAAGCAATCATGTGATTTGTAAAAAAGTTCAATCTTGACCATTACTTTCATGACTTGTCACTAGATACTAGATGGACACTCTTAGCAATCGATTCATAATGCAACATGCCCAGTAAAGAGATGTTTCCAGAGTGAAAATTTCAACATATCTATGTTACGTTAATAGAAACGCACATTGGCAATGCAGATGAAGAGCCAGAATATGGTCTTTCATTAAATAATACAATCAAATCACTTTGAACAACAGCACAACATGTAAATCCCTTTTACATTCTTGGCTTTAGCTACAAACGGAGCATGAAGCAGATACATGCTTTCTATTTCCAGCCACTAACATTCTGTATGGGTTCATTTGAATCGATGGATATGGAGTTTGAATTCAAATTGCTAATCAATTGAAGTTTTCCTTATATGGTCGTCATACAAAGGATTTGCAAATCCTTCATAAATCTTTACACATCATTTTGTAGGATTCTAAATCCAATCAAGAAAAATCATTCATTCAAAACCCTCTTCCCAAATCCAAATCTTTCAATGGCGCTAACCCGTAGATCACACAAAGCTGCTCAATAATCTCACACTAAGCCAGAAATATACAATATGGTACAAATAATCCCTGCAAACTTGAAAAAACTAATAAAAACTCAAATTAGGACAACTTACTCGAGGAAATCACCGGATTGCAGAGGCTCCCATCTTCCCTTTTCAACAGAACCCTAACCCTCCCTCTTTGCATAAAATCCCGCGGATATGCCTTCTCAGCCTAATACCAAATTTGCATTCCCGTAAAAACCAATCCGAAAATCAGTGAATTTGACAGCCCACATTAGAAGGGGAAAAAGGGTACATAAGGAGAAAAAGAAAAACAACGACTTTGTTCTGAAACTGAATGATCAATTAATTAA